AGTTTGTATCTCCCTGGAGCAAACAAACAATTGGGAAAAAAACAAAACACCACTTTTCAGCTGGTATAACTGTGCCTCAGCCCATGTTTTGGAAATGGGGAGGATACATCTGTCAAAATTGTAAAATATCTCTTTCCTATATTACAAATATATTGTGGACTTTGCCCTTCTCTATTTACTAAAATAAATGTATTGGGATGTAATTTTTGATTACAGTAAAGTCAGTCAGAGAGCAACAAAGAGGCTCCAACATTTGTGTGAGCATGAATCCAGGTTAAACCTCTTCATGCTGCCAGAGGGATGTAAAGGGACCTCAGGTTGGGGGAGAGCCACCCTGCAAAATGTCAGCACTCTTCGTTTTCGTTTTCAAATGTTAATTTATTATTGCTTGTCAAAAGACATGGCAGGAAAGCACCAAGAGAAAAAAAGAAAGAAACACAAAAGCGGAAAGTATGTAACCTCCAGGGGGCACATGGGAGTTGTGGGAAGAAGACTTGATGAGGCTGCAAAAGAGGCTGCACCACGAGAAACTTCAAGTATTCTGTAGGAGAGCTCTGGCAGGGTCCGGGAGGTGACTGAGCACCGCGCAGTGAATTTAAAGCCGTGAACTGAGGGCGTGGAGGAGAGGGGAAAGTGGTGCCGAGGACAACGATTACATCTTCAAGGGGGCTGATTAAGAAAATAGAGTTCATACAGTGCCACAAAGGAAACAAAGAACAACAATGAGTGTTGGAAAATAACTGAAAGAGAAGCTCCAAGACTTGACAACCCAGCTAGGTGAGTTGCTACAGCTAGGAGAGAACCAACAAGCTTTATGACAGCCACCCATATGCAACAGCTACATCTTCAAAAAGGGCTTCAAAATGCTTAAAACATTTCTGCTCTTTAAGTAACTTACTTGATTCAGTGCAGGCCCCACTTCAGACTGATTTGGCTTTTACAAATAAACCTAGCCTTCATCAACCATAATTCCTAGTGCAGTGTATTAATTATCACTGGCATTTTATGTTAACATGTTGCTCAGAAAAACACACACACCTGCTCAGCCCTCCCTGCTGCAGGCAGAGGCAGAACTTGCAGTTTGGAACATTTTAAACTGCTCTCTGAGTCCACAGGGTCCCAGAGAGGAGCCCAAGGCAATTATAGCACAGGATTGAGGAGCATAAGGTTGCTGTCTTTAAGTGACCTCAGCAGCAGAGCTTTCACTTCTGCCTGAAGAATTATTCACAGGCTAAACATGTTCACTATAAGAAAGTTTTGTCTCATATGCAACACTTTATTGCTAATAACTTGGTGACATGCCTGCCCTTCTTCACTTCCCTGTCTTCTCACTGGTTGCATGGCACAGTTTTATTTATTCTGCTTCACTTTTTGGTGAAATTGTGATCCTGTTCAATATAAAAGGCTCTGTTGCCTGTTCTAAAAGCAGAAGTTTAACATGGGAGTGTCCATGTAAGAGCAGAAGTTTAATATGGGAGTGTCCACTTGCTGATGCCAACCTGTCATCAGCAAATACAGGGGCCTCCCTAGTTGCTGTTCAGTTGAATTATATGGGTAAAAGACTCCTTGGTCATGTCTTTTGCAGGAAAGAAAATGTTCTGTAATGGCAGACTAGGCAGCACAGCTATCAGTGGACTGGCAAATGCTAGTATAGGAAAAACTGCCTGTAATTTTCATAGTGGGTGAGTAAAACACTAAAATCTTTGCTAACATACTAAAGCTCTAGTTTCCTCTGTCACATAAGACTGTATCAGATTAATAATCATATTAGAACCTTCCTTATTTTATATATACTTTAAGTGGCTTAGGAGTATACTTTGCTTTTAAAAGGTGACTTCTTTTATCCAGCAATTCTGTTCTTTCCTCATCTTGTTACTTTTGTTGCTGTTAGTCTGTTTTCCTCAGGGAACAGCCTAAGAGAAACTGTCTCTCTGTCAATCTCTCCACCCCCAGACCAAGTTTCATTTCACTAATCCAATATTACCAAATGCCTGAGGTCCAGTCCATGTCCTAGAACTTTAACAACAAACAGTGGCCAGACAGTGAGGAGAGCATAACTATGTCAATGCTATGGACAAGATGGTGAAGAAAGCTCAGGCTTTAGCTGGGCACTTGTCCCTGCCTGACTGGAAAATAATGAATATGAGGCAATCAGTCAAAACTTCTCTTGCTCTGAACCAGCCACCCCATGTGGGAATCTAAAAAATGATGGAGAAAGAAGATGCAGCAGATGTGTGAGAAAACTAAAAGAAGTAAGACCTTGCTGTAGGAACTGGGACCTGGAAACAACTGAACATGCTGCAAGGGAACACTGAGATACTTCAGAAGATTTAGGTAAGATCATGGGTTTCAGGAACTTAGGAGATGTTAGAAACAAGCTGTGCCAGTTCAGCTGTTCATGAACAACTTGTCTGTTCTCCTTTCCATGCTCTGCTGTAGATAGATTTGACTTACATCAGAACTACACATGGGTCTAAAATACCACAAACCAATCTGGAGACATCACTTGCAGGCAAGTTTCATGTCTCAAGTGGTGTCTTTAAAGTGAAATCAACACCGTTCTGTTAATTCAGATGTAACTGAGTAAGTAACAACACATGAGGATGTTACTTATTACAGATTGTTTTAATGTGCTGAACTCCATGTCTCTTTCTAAAAACTACCAGCCTGTTATAGAAAAAGCCTAAACGTTTAACACTGCCCACAAAGCTAAAGTTCAAAGATCAATCATAAATTCAGTGTGGTCTCTTGAAAGGCAAACTGGCTACAATTTCACAGAACAACTAACCCCTTTCTCTGGAGGAGATGACAGCTGCAGGGCTCCCGATGACTCCCAATGAGGACACACATGTCTGGGATCTCTGTTTCAGCAGCTAAGTGCAGAAGCCCTCAAACAGAACCTATTTCACTGCTCTGCCTCCAAAGCATCTATGCAACACACACTGCGTATATGGTACTTAAGTCATACAATAACAAGCTTCTTGGCTAAAACTTCATTCTCTACCTGCTCCTAAGGAGAAGTTGACTGCAAACTACTGATTGAATGAAGTGGGTGTCTGCTTTGCAGATCTTCATGACTGTGCCGTACAGTTTCTTAGTATTAATAGGTTGGACAGAATCACTGGGGACTGCTCGGGGTTCTGCAAATGCAGAAGCCTGTTGCACTTCAATATTTGTGCCAGTGTTGTCTGAGGTTCCTGGATACACCTGTGCAGAAGCCTCAGTTCCCAGATCCAAAACCAATCATCACATGAAACAATCGCTTGGCACAGTAGGAGGAAGATTCTGTTTTCCTCTCCAAAAAAAAGGAAAAACAAATTTAATGCATGACCGACTCAAAACTTTATTGCAACCAAGTGGAACACACCTGGAACACAAGAAAAACACCCTGGAATGCCACCATTTTTGGACAAAAGACATTGTACCTGTCCTGCTAGGCCAAGGTACTACTGATGAACTGGTGTGTGTGTACAGGGAAGGAAGAGGATAGAGTAACATGCAGTGTAACAAGACTGCTAAATACTGAAAATGGGTGAAATCCCTGGTAAATTTATATTCTGACAAAATAATTTCAGAATATTTACATGATACAATTTATAGAAGTTTTTAGTACCAGCAAAAGTAGCATTATTTTACCCACATTCCAAACATCTTAGCCTGCATTAAATCTGTTTCTTATTCTCTCTCTTCCTAAATTACATATTGCCACTGTACTTAACACTTGGCAGCAATCATATATAGAACAAAGAATTTCATTGCCACTTACATAGTGTATTTAAACAGAAATCAAATAGATTCAACTGGGTTATTCATGCCTTTAAGACACAACAAACAGTGATGCTACAACATGGCACATTTTACTTGCCTTGCTAAGCTGCCCACATAAAGATGCACTACAGAAAATGACACCTCATTAAATACATTCTTCTCCTTCACCTAAACTTCACACAGGCACTTACTCTCTAGGAACATTTTTCCTTCTTTGAATACCCAACACTTCCATAGAATAAATGTTGCAAATACTAGAAGAGAATAGCTTGCTGGACAACCAGCTTCAGATTCATGCTTACAAGCATTTCAAAACCAGTGGCAAACTCTACACTTTGTTTTTTTCCACAGCCTACAAGTTTGAAAGGCCCGTGTCACATCCAAGACTAAATACTTAGTTTTAAATAACAAGAATATAAATATATAATCCTATTTTTCACTGAGAGGAAAACATCACCTGAGCAGTAAATTCAAAATAAGAACTTGATGTACCATTGGAGCCAGCCATTAACATCTGCTAGTGATGCATAGCATAAGAGCTTTACTGCTCACATCTGGACAATGTACAGCTGCATCTGTGCTAAGACTGCATCTCTGCTGAGAGCCTAGGGCGAATCATAGCGGCTTTTACTTGAACTGGACTGGAAAGTGGAAGCACAAGGAATCACAGTGCAAAGATAACTTGGCAGCTTGTATCTGCAGTGCTACACAAATGCCTTTAGATGCTTTCTGGACTTTCACATCTGGAGTCATTGTATTCCACTATCTGAATTTGGCAGTATGGGCTGATACCATTAATTCAGGGATCTCCATACCATCCTTTCAAGAACTGCATAGACAGGCCCTAGAATTAAATAAATGGTGTTTCACCCTTCTATTTATAAAAATTTATATTTGTTAAAGCAGTGCACGTCACAATGCAGTTGTGTTTACCCTGGCTTGTATTCAACTTCCAAGCTGCCAGTATCGTACATCATGTCCCTATCAGCTAGGCTGGGGACTGAAGCATTAAACAAAATTTAGTGCATTCTGGAGATCAATCATGATTAGAAATAATTCAAACCATCTAAATACTAAAAATCTTGGCCTTTGTTCAGTAACCTGAACACGTAAGAGATTTCACTTACATACCTCTATTTCTAATAGTAAATGATGATTTAATTCTTTTCAGTAATCCAGACTCACCAGAAACAAAAGAGAGCTCAAGGCATCAAACTGCTGCTTAGACTTACCTTCCCAAAGCTGGCAGCATTAACAGGTTGTGTGTCATTTTTCTCACAGAAGTCCAAGTAATGCATGTAGAGAGCACTTCGAGGGATGCAAACACCTTCTGCAATCTCATAGTTCTCCTCCAGCCTTAAAAAGCAAATATCAAACAGAGAGAACTGCAAGTATGTTGGATGTCCTGTATGGTAAACAGTGTACAAAGCTGCATCTCTAAGACCAAACGTTCTGGCTTCTGCTTGTCTCCTAATTTTTCTCTCCTTTCTTCCTAAGTAGTCCTTCCAATTAATTAATTAATAATGCTTACTTTCTGCATTTGGTTCAAGCCTGCTGGCAAAAACACAGGTTGTGAGTTCTGCGAGTTCTCATGCAAGTAGAGATCAGCATAAAGGGATGTGTGAAGGGATTTGACATGTGCCAAAGTGCTATTTTTGGGAAAAAATATACTGGTAACCTGTTATACCCTAAAAGCATCCTGCAGTAAATAAATATATGTATTACTACAAAGCAACAGCCAGTCACTGAGGTGAAGCATTCTCTCATTCTTTACAGACCACCTTTGGTTCACGACACTCTTTGCACTCCTGTCCAGCTACAAAATTCCTTACCTTGAGGAAGAAGATGAGGGTGAAGCAAGTTATTTGCAGATACTCAGGAGAGTATAAAAAATCATATATGTATAGTATTTTCTTGCTATTATTGATGGGCAAAGTGAAAAAGGATCCATGATCTGAATAAAATAGTGAAATACCTTCCTCTTCTGCCTTGTAGAAGCTATTATTAATTTACAGATGCAAACAGACAACTATAAAATTTTAAATGATGCATCAAATATATGATTAAGCATTTGCTTTGTCTTTAAAATCTTAAACTGAGCTAATTATAAGTCTATACTAGAACAAATATTCCTTTGAAATGACATTTTTTTCATTGCTGATCCAACGAAGTTCAGGGGGTATTTACATACACACTATTTTAAAACATAATTCATCTTGTCATCCATGTTGTCACTCATATGCATATATGTGTGCTTGTCTGCCTTGCTGCCTAGGATAAGAAGGTAGGTGAAGCTTTCTTTTAAAAACAGTAGAAAATCAGTATGTATCTTCAAAAACCCCTCCAATTTTACAGTGAATAACCCCCTGACACTTGATAGCTGTGGAACACCTTCCAAACGTCTAGTTTCTCTTCCTCACTGCCTTTTTCAGGACCTACTTACCTTCCGTTTCAGTTATCGTGATCATTTGTGACTGCAAACTATTTTAATAAGACATCCGGCTGGATGAATGGCATCAGTTTGTATGGGCAACATCTTTTCTTCTCTGCTTTCTACAGAAATATCATCACGGCATCTTTCCTCAAATTCATAGCGCTTTAACAAAACCCCCTTTCAAAACCTGGAGAGTTCGTTTGTATACTATAGCTGCTAATTGGAATGTCAGCTTCGGTGACCAAGACAGGACAGAAAGAAAAGCAGTTAATTATTTCTGTTCATATCTGATGAATTTTTCTCTTTTTCTCCTCTCTTTCACAAAGAGTCATTAGTCTGACACCGAACAATGCTCCATTATACCTGAACTTTTTTATTTTTAATGATCAAAAACCCATCTTGCTCCACTTCTTTTATTTCCCTGTCTTTTATTTAACAACTTTATCATATTTTGAATTCAGCTTCATTCTATGATATTGCAGAAAGATAAGGAACTCAATCTTCTACCTAACAAATCATTATCAGAAATAATAGATATATAACATTTAAAATGTCCTAATAAAGCCCTGTGAAATCCAGTAGTTCACAATGAGTCCTTTTGTACCACTACAGTATAGCAATAACCCCCCTAATCTTTCCACAGGAATTGCAATTTTATCTGTCCCTATTTCTGTTTCCCTCTTTATACTTATATACTTCTAGATTAAACTAAGTTCTTCTATAGCAGAGACAGGTCTGTAGTGTTGTTACAGACTTGTTTTTAGGTATGAAGGCAACAGAACAACTATAATCTTAACAATAGCTAATTACATAAAGGATTCTGGAACAGATTAATTTACAGTTTCGAAGAAACTACTAATCTGGGGAGAACCCATTACCTAGTAAAGATTTACCATCCTCTTTCACTTCCTTTTCTCAATGTTGCAGAAAACAGAACAGTTTTGTTGACTTTAGTTTCACAACACTGTTATTATTCGGAGCACCTACACCATAAACCACCAAACTTGCATGGAATTAGGCTGGTCATGCTTTGAATAAATCTATGTTTGGGGATGTAGACACAAACACACTGCCCAAACCAAGCTGAAATAAAGTCTCATGCTTACAATTTGGTCAACCAGTTCAACCAATGAAAGACCTGTGAACATTTTAGAGCCAAGTATTTTGCAAGCTATAACTTGATAGAGAGTAATGAACATGGGAACATGAGGTAAGCACAGGATGCTAGGTATTGGTGTGTTTATGCCTTAACAGCTACATTCAGGCTCATGTAGTTTCTCCAAGATGATGTATTTGGCAATAACACTACATTTACCAGGCTTTTCACTTCATTTTGTGTCATCAACAAAACCAAACAAAAATATAATTTCTGTTTCCAGGAGAGGGATATTTAGCCAGGCTGATAGTCATCCAGACATGCTTCTTGGCATCTTCAGCTACTTCTTCCTCTTCCTCATTTATAGCGTTCAACGTACTTCTCCTTTGGAAAGCCACAAGCATTAAGGACAAATCCCTGTCAGATTGATGTCGTTCACTCTTTCAAGCAAGACACCAGAAGAGGAATAACTAATTAACTTGATTCCAATATGAACCATGTGACAAAATTTATGTATTTCCCTTCTGTCTTGCTTCTCTTTCCCTGCTACTTTCTTCCTCTTCTTTTTCCTTGCTACTGACATTTTCTCTATTTCTGTTCTCCAACACTCCATTGCCTTCATTAGCAGTAAATCATAGTAGCACCTACCAGCAAAAATATGATGACCAGCTTTAACTTGGCAGACACCAGATGCTGCAGACAACTGTGATGCTTCTATCTGCCAGAATAAGGCAAGTTTGGTACTACTGTATCCTGCAATTTGGTCAGAAATTTGCCCCACCAATTCCACCTCTTGAATCTATCTAGACATTCCTGTTAGAAGGTAGGACACATGCTTACCTAAGGCTTATTCAGGTAAATTTAATCTTTTCTCTTCCTGGACTGTGCAAAAACTTGGTCTGATGCCTGAGGAGGCAAAACTGTCAAACACATAAAGTTAAACCTAAAGGAAGCACTACAGTGCAGCATTCCTACAGTGCTGACCCCAAGAGTTTACCCACTCATGGGTTACCAGGTGCTACTACAGGACAAATAATCTGATGCTAATGTGCCTGGCTTTTCAGAACAGTGGAAATTAGACATCTTCACACAAAGCAAACTTACTACTTTAGCAATTTGGCTATAACTTTTGAACTTGTCATCTTACGTGGTGTATCAAACCCATTAGCACAGTTGCTTCAGGAAATACCAAAACCAAGTTTCAGTACAGTAGGCTGGAAAGCATATGGAAAGCACCAGAAAACTCTTCTATGGTATAGCTAGTACACTGGAGAACTTTTACCAACAGGTCTATTAATAAATGAGTCAATTGTTTAATTCAGTTTAACACCAGGTAAAGAAATTGAACTTGAAAACTTTTTTGTTTCCCATTCCCTCCTGAAATGTTTGGGTTGAAAATTGAATGGAGGAAGCTGCAGATGAGCAAAAGTCTCAAAGGGGAGAAAGTCTGACCTACCAAAACATGCAAGAAGTACAGCTCAACAGCCAGGTGGTAAGCCAGGACACTAGCAAGGGGGAAGGGAAGATGATGTAGGCGGCCTTTTCAGAATCGAAATTCTAGGATTCTATTGCAAACACTGTTGAATGAGCATTAGCGTGCACACTGCATTCCAGCAGGGCTCAATATCCCAGGAGTTTAGGGATTTACTAACCTTTATGACCAAGGAAGCTTGAAAGTATTTGGCAAAAGATTGTTTACAGTATTTGCATGTTTTCTGTTGGGAACAGTATCGTTGGCATGTTCTAATTAACTCTGACTTCTTGGCTACTACGTTATTTGCTCCTCTGGAAAAGACTCTTAACTGACTCCACTGCAAAACAAACACTGATCTGAATTTGGGACTGGTATGCTGCTATTTTATTTTAGCCAGATAGTTCTTTTTTACCTGCTCCAACTGTGTTGAAGTTGTGTGGGTGAATAACGGAAAATAATAAAATATCTCCATGACATTTCACTATTATTTTAAATTTTTTCTGTGTCTGTAGACACTCTCTTTACTCACTTTTCTTGAACTTCCAAAAAACAGCACTTCTGCCATCCAAACAGGTACAAACGAGCAATAGTTCAGAACTAAATGCTTTTATTTATATTTGCCCATCTCTTTTGCACTAGAAATGTCTGCAAGTTTCTTCAAGGCAGCACACTAAATACTTGTAGAAACCTATTCTAAACCAACACACAGGTCCTGTTTTTTTTAAAAAAAAACAAACCTAAAATGTAACTGATCAAATTTAAAAAGCAAACACAGATGGAACAATCGAAACCTCTTTATGCATATTTCAAGGAAACACAGAATTCCACCGGCAGAGAAAAATAGCAAAATTCACTGTATGAATTATTCTTTGCTGTTTGTTCAGTTAGATCTCCCAAGAGACTGACAGAAGCAGAAATATAATTTTGCTAGCATTTAGCCAAAAACCTCACTTTTTTTGCTAATAATCTTATCTTTTCATCCAGAAAACTACGATAACTATTTAAAAGTGATGTAAAGCCTTTCTCTAAAAGACTTACAACAAGCTAAGGAGTACGGACTTTCAGACAAGCATGCTCTGAGGCTTCTCTGTAACACAGCTCTCTCCTCCTGCCAGATACAAGGAACTTCCCGAAAGATCCCTGACAATACTAAGAAAGCTAAACCAGAATTTAAAATGTAAATTGAGGGAAAAGTCAACAAATGTCTAAGAGATGACTTAGAGAAAGGGATGTCAGAAATACAAGTAACATTACAGAACTCACAGCCTTAAATACTGTTGTAAACCATAGTGAACAGCACTTGTATACTTTTCATAGTACATTAGACTAACTCACAAACTTTCTTCTCTCCATCCTCAGTTTCTCTCTTCCTAATTACCCTTCCTTTCTTCCTCTCACTGGATTTGCAAAGGGATTTTGGCAAATGAATCAAACCTCAAAATCTCCCTCTTTTTCTGTTGTATTTTATGTGAAATTACAGCAATCTTACTTCAGTAAAACAGGCAGTAAAGGTGGGCTTCAAGATACCCCGAAACCAACGTGAGTCTTAAAAACAATTCTCAGCACTAATTTTCTTTTTGTAATAAATATAGCAACGGTGACAAACCACAAATCACTAGCTGGCAAGGTGGCAAACAAACATGCCAAGTAGAACCTCTAAACTGTATCAGAGGTTTCCCGTGTTCAGACAAATCCCGTAAGAGTAAGACATTTGTTGAGAAATGCTGCACAGGATACTAATGAGGAGATTAAACGCATACAGTGAAAATATCTTTAGAATTGCATCATGTCCAAGACCTCTATTCTCTTCAGCTGGAAAACGTGTAAGAAACAACACTAATGTATTTTCTTGATTTTTTTAAAACAGCCTCTTACCATTGCAGTGTAGCTGGCGTTGAGTGTGGTTTTGATGCTCTATTATTTTCTTTTTCCTCATCTGTTAAGAAACAAAAAAACATACAATGTAACTTCAGTGGGAATTGCTCAGGCATTTATGAGCTGTTAAGGAATTATCTCACAAAAAAAGTGTTCTGCAGTGCCAAAGCTTTCTCCAAATTTTGTCTAAATTGTGGAAATGTAAACAACAATGTTCATTAATCTAGCATCTGCAGATACTGCTTTGGGCAATAAACCTTGCAAACAGTACTGACAGTAGGAGCAGAGTGGTGCATAGGAATTTTTACATTGGAAAGGTTAAATTTAGGTGAAAAAAAGCACGCAACTCCTAGACCTCTAGCATCATATCAGAAAACAAAAACACTTTCACCTGCTTTAAGGGAACAGTTACTTTACACATTTTATATTAGATGAGGCATTTAACTTAACAGGGTTCATCCACTGTTGTCATCCTAACATATGACATGTCCCAGATGTTTATAAATTTAGAAATATTAATTCTGAACATGAAAAACTGAAATTAAAAACATTCTATAATATACTTTATTTTTTAAAATAATTTTTCTGAAATTATTTCTCATTAATTGTTTCCAAGGTAACTCTGATTCGCCAAATTTTAAAAAAATTCAGTAACAGATGAATAAAGAAAAAGATAATTATTAAAATAAAACTCTTAAAATATTGGATCCTCCCTAGTTTGCATTAGTTCTTTTAAAACAATTTAAAAGTATGCATAGGATAATTCCTGTTAAACTGTGATTTGTGAACCATATAAAACCTTCCTGGGTGAAAGCTGGAGTGAAGCACAATTAGCACCTCCAGAAAGGAATTCTTTAGGAAACACTTGTATCCAAGTTTGATATTTTAACAAGTTTGACCCTGATGAAAAGCATTATGTGTAAAAGGCTTTGATTCCTAAACAACAAGGCAAACCGCTGCACCTCTCCACCACACTGCAAGTTTCTTTTCTTCATACAGTCAACTTTCAGAGGTTATTTAAGTGAGGGTTTGGGATGCTGAGTCTGAAGGGAGCTGGGCTATCTCCTCTGAAGGCCAGAGTCCATTGGGAGGCCTTTGGTGCCGCCTTGAGAACCGGCGCACAAATGGAACCCCCCTTGGGACGACACGGCCCTCACACCGCAATCCTTCTCCTGTGACACACAGGGCAAGTTGTGTCAAGTGAACACCCCTCAGCCTGCAGGGCAGGTCCCCTGAACGTCAGGAACACCCAGATTTACAGTTACCCGCAGACAGGGCGAGCAGCTCCTCTTCTACATCTGCATGACAATGGGCCTCTAATTATTGGATCGCACACTCCCTCCCTGCCTTTCAGGGGCCCGCTTTTATTCGGCGCATAGGACCAACATACACACTTCCAATCACTTTTAAATCGTGTTTTTCATTTGTTTCTCCCAAACAAGCGGTCGGCGCGCAACAAACCCCCGGCACGCCGGGCCTGAATGCTGAGCGGCCCCTGACTCGGCCCCCAGCCTCACCAGGCCTGGGACAAACGCCTTCTCTGTAGAGCTGCGCACCACGGATCTCAACCACCACGGGGTGGGTAACAGAGCTGGGGCTGTCCCCTCTCACAGCCCCAGCTGCTTGGTCTTTTCCACCCTCACTGACCGCACAGGCTGCCTCAGAGCACAGCCTGACTCCTGCCTTCCATGTCTGGTCATGTCTGCCCTAGGGAAGTGAGAAGACCCTTCGGAGTTGGGATTCACAGTTCTCCAGGTGGTAGGAGACCAGGGAGCCCAGCTCAGAGCTGGGAGAACAGCTGCTGGGAGGGCAAGCAAGCCCCAGCAGGGAAGTCACTGTGGTCACCCTGGAGGGCCAAGAGCCCGGTCCTACATCCTGCTGTGGCTTCCCCAACATCCTGGCCAGGGACAAAAAGAGGCATCTGGGCTGAGAGGGTGTTATGCAGTTCCCTGGGCGTGGGGCACTGAGGCTTCACCCTCCCATGGGTGTCCACAGCCAGCAGCCTACCAACCAGTAGTTACAAATGGTCTGTCTCAGCAAAGCGCTGCTGGGGGTGAAGCGCTGGCTGGGGCAGGGAGTTTAACCTGCTCCTGCTTTGGAGACAAAACTTACAGCTGGCAGTCACAGGCCTCATCAACAGGGACCTGTAACACAGGGCACTGTAGCCACTGTTTATGGACAGGAGGGACCCTGCTTTTGCTGTTGCAGGGAGAGAGACATCACAGCAAGAAGGTACAACCACCAAAGCTGACACTGTTAGGTATTAACAGCACGTAGGGGGCCAGTCCTCCTGTGCCTCACCATGTTCTTGTTCAACTTAAGGTTATTGCTACCCAGGTGAAAGTTATCCATTTTCTTAATCAGCATTTTCTATGTCAGTGTCAAAGCCTATCACCCACTGATTTAAGTCTGCTGCACAGTTGATTCCTCGCTGGAAATTAGGCGAGGGGGATGCAAACTGGAAAACCACTGACCTAAATAATCTCATCTAACTAAGATGCAGAAATCCTTGAATGACCTCTACCTTTGAATCCAACATGTGCCACTCCCCCCTCCCCAGAATAAATGTTTTTATTACCTTTCTTGTTTTAAAGGGTTTAGTATTCAAAATTCTGTTATTAGATGCCTTTCACTTGTGCTAACTAGATTGCATTTTCCTCTGGATAAGTGGCACTAACAAACCAAAGTCTACAATATTAGAGTCTCTACATCCCTTCCATCCCCCCCTAGCTGTTTTTCACTCAAATTAAGAGTGACCACCTGTGAGCAGGTGCTTTCCCTAACCTACCCTCAGACACTCTACCAGCTAACCACACTCAACTCTTACCAAGTAAGAAGTGAATTTTCAACAAAACTAGATTTTTAGACAGTGCTTGTCTCCCTAAAAATCAGCTCTCTTTACAAGAAATCAGACCTTTTTATTAATTTGTTTTCTGCAAATGGACCAACTGTCAGCCAAAATGTTTTTCATTTTCACCAGGTGCTAGCTGCAATACTTACGTTCAGAAAGCCTTCACTTTTTATTGGACAGATGGAAAGAATTGCATGTGGTATAGGAAGAGTGGACCTAGAAATAAAAACTCTCAGTATTACATACACAAGCACTTTATTCAGCCTTGCATAGTTTAATAGTATAAACTCATCAGATAATTGACTAGCAGAAAATAATAAATAGCCCTATTCCTCATGTTTTTGTTGGTTGCAGAGCACATAACAGTTTCCCTATTAAGCAGGGCATGTTTTGCATAACTCTCGACTCAGGTCTGATCCCAGATCTGTTTGTACAGCATCAAAGATCTGTCTTGCTTTATGTTTTGGCCTGTCATTTTATCAGTTCCCATCAAAACAACACTGTAGGTGAATGAACCTACACCATTTAAAAATCGATATTTTTAAAATTCAGTCCATTTTGTGAAAAAAAAAAAAAAAGGAAATAAAGACACTGAGAAGAAGTCTTGCTTCAAGGCATCATCAAAGAACAGAGCTGGCAATTCTTCTATGACAAATGCAAAAGGACCTGAAGTCATGAGGAAAAGCCCTGCTCCTGATGCACGTCTTGCAGGTCCTCACACATGTGGCAGCAGCACAGCACTTCGGGGGAAACCTGCTGCTAGGAGCAGATCTAGTCTCTTCAGTCCATTGCTAATAGGAAGACTAGTAGCATTTCAAGGACAGATATGTTCAACACATCCGTGGTACAGTAGGAAACGTGGTACTCAACCCAAGCTGAAAGCAGATTCTAGCTCAGACAGCTGCAAGTAAAACTTTTAGCACAGAAGAGGCATTGAAAGAGATTAAAAACTGGGATAATCTATGTACTAGAAAAATAGTATTTCTTGGTTCCCAAAAATATCAGATAAAGTTTTTCTTCTCAAACTTCATGAAAGTTTCTTCACTAACAGCTCTGTCTTTCTCCTTTCAAAATTCTGTTTCAAAGCCACCAGAACAGAGTTCTGCCTGTACCTTGTGCATGTTTCATGGCTTTCCCTGAACTCGCACTAGTATCCTTTAACTATATAGTTTTAGGTCCAGCTTGAGGGATTTCTTGCTTGTTAGAGCAAGACACAGAGACTACACTCAGCACCTCTTCAGGCATGCTGCCTGAAACACCTTATCTAGAACATCCACAAAGTGAAGACCCTGCATAAGTGCACTTTTTTCTATGATGTTCATGTTACTTTGTTTGTCATAACTAAAGTGGAGTTAAAGCTCTGCTTTCCACTGTGGAGATAGAAAAGTTCTGTACTTTTCAGTGTGGTCTACATGTGTCTTCAAGCCACTAAAGGACTTAACATGTTATTAGTAGCTTTATATTAATAAAATCCTTCTCTTAGTTCATCCCACTTTTCAGAGGAACAGCCTCTTCCTTCGTAGCCTCTGCAGTCCAGGTTCTGACTGTTCTCAAAATGAATTTCCCTTTAGCAAAAATTAAATGATAGTAAGAATCTACTTTCTCTCTTACTTACATGTAGCCATAAATAAGATTCGGGCTTATTACCATGTATTCCATGCTTTTAAAAGAGTGGGATTTTCAAAAATCCTCTGCAAAACATGGGAGCATACTTTTCTAATTAAGTATGATTGAACAAGAAATAATTTTCCCCAATGAATATTGCCATGAAATCAAGTATCTCTTTTTTAAACTTTTTTTTTCCAATGGAAAAATAAGATGTTTGATTGAAACAACAAAAAATAAACTACTGGATAAATCTTGCATTTCAGCCAGTTTGAACATGGATTTTGAACACTGCTTTGACATGCAAAAAGTAGACCAAATCTCTTTTTTTACCTCACGTCAATTGTCTGCACATTCACACTTTAAATATGCAAAAAAAATTTGGACAAGCAACCCTTCCACTTCATCACGTAATGTGATGACTTCTTCCCCAGGGAACTGAAGCTGAAACTTTCATAATCCTTGAATTGTATTCTTCCAGACCCCTGCTTCAATTTGGAGAATCTGGCTCAATGCACCATACACAGGAAAGGTTGTAGGGTTTTTTAGTTATTAGATAGTGCTTTTCCTGCGGATATTTTGACTAATACGTAGAGTGTGGAAGTGGTGGAAGGAAAAACATTTTAATAACTTGAACCTGAAATAAAATATACCTATAATTTTAATATTAGAGTGTAAAAGCTGTGTTTTGGATGAGGTCATAAAGGATTCCAAAGAGGATAAGAAGGGCCCCAAGAAGCAGTGAGACCATGGGAACCCTCAGCTGTGAGTCATTTTCTCCCCTCACAATATAACGCAGGTTCAAGAGGCCTGGAGGTGTCTGGATCAGAACAGAAGATTGCAAAGGACCCCTGTGGCCTGAAGTGTGGTTCTGTGGCATAGTCCAGCTATAGAAAAGGAGACAAACAGCACTATTGCTCTTGTTCTAAAACCCCATGAACTACAAAAACATACCAGAAGGAACAGTCATGAGAGCAAGTATGATACTGTGTAAGAACATTATCAGTTCACAGTGCATTTCTTCATAGTTTTCACTGAACGCAAGGCCAAAAAAAAACCCCAACACCAAAGCCACATTTTCTTTGATAGAGTCCAGCCAACAGCTACCTAATGTATTTAAAGACAAAAAAATTAGTAGTCAAGAGGGATGACGCCTTCTTTTGGCTGCAGATGAAAACTGGAACTGGGTTAACAACAGCAATTTTGCTACCACTCCAAAGAATTCAAATAAAGTTACTAAAAAAAACACCTTTCACCTCCTGCTGTTTATAAACATATGGCAAAGGTCAGACAGAGTGACACAATGGTTTGGAAACTTTTTGTTTGGTGTGTGGGCACTGTTAGAGAAAGGTTAGAAAGAACTCGGGGGGGGCTGGAAAGGAGCACATAGTACAGTGAGTTCTGAGGTGAAACTTTTAGTTTGTTCTGGGCTTCACAGATTGTTGGTCTTCCTACTGCAGGGCAAGTGGTTTATTTTTCTTTCCTACACCTCTCCTCTTCCCCTCATGAGGATGACTTTTCAGGTGGATAAGTTCTCCTGTCTGCACTGCAGAAATGCTGGTATCAGTGTGAAGGAAGCATCTAGAAGAAATGGCTCCTAAGAAGTGAGCTAGATTTCATCAACTCGACTCTTCCTTGGCTTTCTATTATTTACTATGACAACGTCTTCTGCACAGAAATTGTGGGGCCAATGCATTTATACATTTGTTTTATCAGTTCTAAATTTACTGTCTTTTATTATCATCGCTTGTCCCTTAATTCCAGCACCAGAAAACAGACTGAGCAACTGTCCAGTCTTCTCAACGTCATTGCCTGAAATACCTGCTCTCGCTGACCCATGCAGGCCCACTTCTTACTGTCCCTAGGAAGACGGCAGTTTTCTCATGCTCACATTTCAACTGAAAGCACCATATAACAAACTACCACTAGTTTTGTGACAAACGGGGCAGGGTAACAGATCTAGAACAGAACATGAAAGGAGACTTAAAATCATGACACCACACAATTTTTAAATCTGTCTAGGGGTGTCACCTTGACAATACTGCCTTGAACTCTGAGCCTAATTAAAGCTCACCAAAGTCAACAGGGTTGAATCCTGAAATTCTGGCCCTACTAAGAGTCCAAAAACATGTCTCCTTCATCACAGGTTCTTTCCATCACTTTTTCAGTAGCATCACAGTGAAATGAATTTCCTAAGTCCCACAGGTTCTTGTAAAATGCAAATTAAATAGAAGGTGCTTTTTTGGTTTACACCACAATTTACTACAATTGTATTTTTAAAGATAAACTGATTTCTAATTCTTTAATTTTTAAAAACCAAACAACACAAACCTGGCCAAGTTTTATTGTCTGTCTTTAAGGACTCTTATCCACTTTCCTTAGCTTGGGAGTCATTAATAAATAATATGTTTCTAACATCTTCTTAATCCTTCAGAAAAGATATTCCCTCAAAAGAGAAACATGGACAAACAAGAGCAGGGCCCCAGTATAACAATTCCCATCAACTACTGAAACACTCTTCTGCAGGGCATGTAATTTCACAGTGACATAAAAATAAAGCAATTCTCTTAAAATGCAAAAAAAAAAATAATTAAAAGGGACATTCAGCAATTAAGAAATCATTAAAAATACATTTTCTAAACTTACTTCCTTGAGTATTATAAAAATGTGAGTCTTTCTAAATTAAACCATTTAGTCTGCATTAATATTCTGTAATTTAAACGAACATATGAAATACAGGGAAGAAAACGGGAAGAGTATTTTGCTTTGGGGAAATGAAGCAGAAAATGCATAAGCAGGGAAACCTAAATACTAAACTAAAAACTGTCTTAAAATTTTTTAAATAAAAAAATATATTTCAGGCTATTTGGAGGTTGTTTTAATGACCTGCTGTTGTTAAAAATCAAGACCTAATGTTACCATAACTAGAAGAGATAAGAAAAAGTATCTATTTTAAAATCAGCTAGATTTATAATTGCTCCCTCTCTGTGACTAGAAAGGAAGCAATATCATGATATAATATGTAATTTTTTTAAAAGAAACATTTTATGTGTATGATTTGATACTGCAGCTTTGAAAAACAGCACAATTTTTCTTGTATTTCAAATGCATGGGGTTCACCAGTGAAAAGAAAAACAGATGGTTTTACGCAAGAGCTAATACTAACAGCACATTGTAGAGGTCATCCAACCTTTCTTCGGCGATGCACGATTTCTTCTGGTTGTTCTACCTAATAGATGGTAGTGCTTCCTTTTAACTAATGCAAAATACCCAAATGTTCCAGAAAAAATAATAATTAACAAAACTACTTAATGTGTCAAGTGAGTCGACCATACAAACAAGAGAGTACTAAAAACATCACCAAGAAGTAGCAACACATACAGCCAGAACTTGGGCATGCTCACACTGATTTTAAATGAATGACAAGTTACTTACTTTCATCGTTAGAAACATTCCCCAGGGAGGTGTGACTGGAATAACGTTTGTTTTCACTTTCATTGAGACATCGTTCAATCCAACTCTCTGCAAAAGAACAAATATGCTCTTTTTTTTTTTTTTTCCTGTTTGTCTTTGCATAAAATATAAACTTCCAACATATAAAACTAGATTAAGCACCAGCTTCCAGCAGACAGTGTTCTGTAGCATTTCTGTTAAAACACGCTCAGTCTGAGTTACTTAGCAGGAAAACCCTTTCTTGCTTTCAAACTTAGCTGTTGCTTCTTCGTTTCATTTTTTGTTTGTTTTTAAACAACAGAGGCTGAAATGCTCCTACGCACACAGCAAATCTCCCCAGGATATTCTCTTTCCTCTCCATCATAGTACATTAAAATTAAAAAAATCATCTCATGTGGGCAACCGAAACACAGAAATTACATTAATTTCTTAGTCTTAGTCTGGCAAAGATGTAAGCACTCAGGTATTGCCACTGGCTTTGAAAGGTGTCTTCATGTGTGTCAAATCAATCATTCACGTGAATTTCTGTTACTGCAGGGCTCAAACTGTGCTCTCTGAAGTCCAGTCCTACAACCCCGTTCACCCTGGTGGAGTCACAGGCCCTACCCAGATCTTTTCCATGCTGGCACAAGTCCAATGCAGCAAGTCAACAGCCACTGAGCTACTTGAACCTTTGTCACTCCACAATGGGTACTCGACCACTCCTGTTCTTGCTCTTCCTTACTTCCAATTTGTTCCCTTCAGTCAGATGAGGTACAGCATTACATGGATTTGACTCTGCTGTTCCTCCTTCTGGAAGCTGTAACATGCATCCCCTGAGGACTTCAGAGGCTGCACCAGGCTCAACAGAATTTACTGTTATGGGTCTTCAGAGCAAATATTGCACCATCCTATACGTGTTTCCTTGGACAAAGTATGAAATACGAGTCCTTCAGTTTGCTGGGAGCCCCTGAGTACTGCTACAATATACAGACTTACACCATGAGATTACTTTTCAAGGGCACGAATGTGGGCAGAAATAAGTTTATGCTCACAGAGCTCCCTGTGGCCAAAGCAAGGAGAAGGGATAGGTGGAAAGGCTGCAAAGTAACCCTACAAGTTTTGACAGGAAACCACCCCACTGAGTGAAGGGACACACGAGAAATAAAGGGAAACAGGCCTTGCTGTCAGCACACTGCCAGAGCCAGGAACACCTTCAAAGGCACAGAAATGGTATCAGAATCCTTTCCATAAGCCACCCTCCAGACACATCAGGTTTCCAGCACAGCACAGGCAGCAGGCTTGAAGGGAGAGCAGAAGCCTGGAGTCTTGGGAAAGCTGCCTATCTGGTTTATAGAAGGTAAAAGCTCATATGACTTCATTTCAGCACTGGAAGCCAATAATATATTAATAGACATGGCCAAACACATCCTGCAGAAAAAAATGCTTTTCAAACCCAGGCAGTTGCTCAAACTTCAGTATTTTCCTCTGCATGCACACTCTGCACTGCCACACCAGGGCAACAGCATTTGTGTAGGACTTCAGAAAGGTCTGCTGAGAGCCCTTCAGACTGCTTTGTGTGCTTCTGGTTTTCAGGCAGTGCAAGAGAGGTTGTGGCAGCTCCAGGCCATTCTACTCCCTCTTCCTGTTTGCCCATAGTAAAAAACACACTGCACCGCCTTCATCGGTGCATCTTCCCCATTTACCATCAAATTGTCTTCTGCCCATGGAGCCTCATGACCATGCTGCCTCTTCCCTATAGGCTGCTCCTTTGAGGTACTTCTCTTAAAGTTGGCAAAAAAACCCTCTTATTGTCAGTAGATTTTGCAGGATAGTTCTTCTCCCTATCAAATTCAACACGACCTTGTATAAAAATCACTTTCAGGATGCTGACATGGCAACTAAAAACTTGCCAGTGAGGCCCGTGCTGTCCAAGCAGCTCCTGCTCAGTGACTAACCCACCAGCCTGCGGAGGCTCTAACTTTGAGGCTTTCCCTTCTCCTGCTGCTCAGCAGCATTGGGTGGGGGGTATAACACCTCCTTGTCTAAAGGCCAACACAACGAGATGGCTGCTTCGTGCCAGATTTGTCCAGCTGTCCTACAAGTGAGCTAATAGCACCTCTCTGTCCCTGTTCTACTGCTGTGAGCTGGGGGACAGGAGCTTGGATCCCCACTACGAGGTGAAGAGAAACTTGCTTCTCAGGACAACACCGGAGAGAGGTGCAAGAAGCCCTGAGAAAGATCACCCTTCCTCCTCCTCCTCCTCCTTTCAGCCCACAGCCATGGCTGCACATAATTCCCTTGGCTCCGAGCCCAGCTGCAGGGAGCACAAGCAAAGGCGGCTGCCGCTCGCGCCAAGGAGAGACCGATGCCCAGCTCTGCCCTTTCTTCTCCTCCCAGCGCCGAGAGCTGGGAAGCTGGGATGCATCCTCTTCCCTCGGCAGCGGGGAGCTGGCAGCAGCCATCTTTAGTCACGTTCCCTGCCCCAGCAGAAGGGGAAAAAAACCACTTTTGAAGTGTCACTCGATAACAATTTTCACCCTCCTTGTTCCTGTTATACCTCTGATAATTGTGTGGATGCCCCTTCCTCATTGGTAAAGCAGTTGACACTGCAGGATGCAAACTCTCAGGAGTAAGGCACAGTTAACTGTTTAATTATGTGCTGCAGCTCCTTTGGTCCTGAATCACCCTGGTTCAGCTCACTGCAGCCTGAGTCTGGCTTTGTCTTTGTGGCCTTGCATTTAAAGGAGCTGATAGAAATTCTTCAGGCCTGAAAAGATACATGACCTGTCTGGCAGCAAAGAATGAAGAAAACTAACTCTTTTGGGCAAAAATGTCAGCGAGTTTATGGCAATTTTGTCAAATTATTTGGCAGATGACAAAATGTGACAAAACCAACCAGATTTTTAAAGGCTGCATCGTCTCATAACCTGAGATAATTATAAATAAATATTAGTAAGTCATTTTTTATTATTTTTTTTTACTCCTTTTATAAAGAAAAAAGTTTTAACAAAGCTTTCATTTAATTGCTGGCCCAGAGGTAAACCTTGACAAACTTCCAATTATTGGTAAGAACATTTTCAGGGATTAAAAAAAAATAAAATGCAACTATAGTTTTGCTGAAATTGAAAATATTCCCTTCAGGAGCCCACAGATAGCAGAAATTATAGTACCTGCCTCAAATAAATAATACTAATAAAAAGATAACTTGGCAGAACAAAGTCAAAAGTCAAAAGTAAGTCTGATTTTTATAAGATGTTTCAGAGCCAATACTGGGTACAGCCTTGCACACACAGAATGTTCCTGTTCTCTGGGGGTACAGCCCAGCTGCACTGGTGACTGTCCCAGGCAGTCTGTAGATTGGAGGAAGAGACCTGTGCCTATAACCCTGTGTCCCTAACCTGAGGCTTCATCACTTGCTCCCAAGGCAAACACACTGCACTGCTGTTCTAGACAAGCCTCGAGTCACACGAGATGGAAGTTTTTATATGACTGAAACCAAATTGCTGCTCTAAGACCTTACAAGCTTCTCAAAGACAGGATTTCACAGCAGGGAGCAGTCATAGAGTAATGGAGAGTTCAGGTGGTGATTAAGCAGAAGTGCATATGAGACTTGATAAAAATGATGAATTGTTAACACAGTATGTCAAAAACCCAGATTCCAAGTGGGAAGTGCTTGTGAGAGCAAAAGAAAGTACATCCTGTCTCATATAGGGTGTATTTTTACTCATTATGTTTTCAGTGTATCATGTCTTAAGGCATTGCCCCTCCCTGCTCCCCAGGACTCTGTTGCACCCTGAGCCCCAGCACACTGCACCCTATGCACAGTGGTTTGAGTTTGAGCAAGCATCAGCACTAGCCAAAAAACACCCAAGCAAAATAAATAGATTAATATCTAGTAATAAAATGTAGTGTATTGACATACTGATAATTCTGTGCTGTGACATGATATGGAAGCTGTTACAATCTTATTAGCAAAGAATGCAACTAAGATGTATTTAATGGTGTTTTTAAGATGCACCTTCAAATGCTACATGAAGTGTTTAATTTTGCAAGGATCAAAAGTAAATTATAATGAAGTGCACTACTATGTCCCTTAGCCTTATCTTTTTTCTTATATAATTTTGCATGTCACCAAGTACAAATACACTGTGTCATCTGCAGGGTTTCAGCACAAAGGGAAGGAGATGGTTATTCAAATCACAATAACTTTCCCAGTGTCAATTTTCTGGCAGAACCACTTATCATGACACAAACAAAAAAACATCAATTGCTCACAATGAAGTGCTAAAAGATGGACTAAAAAGACCTATGGAACTACTTCTGCTTCTTATTTAATCTCTTCTCTTTTAGTCCTAATCTTGGTAAGAGCGACAGATCCACTGAACCTCCAGCATGAGAGTATTCTTCTTCCATTAAATGTGTCCACCACACTTTTAACAACAGAATTTTAAACTGAGCTTATTTTTAAGAGCTGCCAGGACAGAGGCCTGCACAGTTTTCCCTTGTGTCCACTATGGCTCTGGTCTTCACACCAACAAGTGTATTTTTATTTGCATGGTGCCTCATCAAGGAGCTGGAAAGGCAGGTCTAGTACTCCCTGAAACAGAGGCAAACACATGAGAGCTACTCAGGGGAAGGAACTTTCATGAACAAGAAGTATCAACTGCTTTTTAAATGTATCATTAACAAATTGTTTTAATGAATTATGTCTTTTAGAAAGAAGGGTTTGCTCCTGGAAGACACCTTTTGAAGGATTCTCCCTATGGAGCCTCAGCTGATGTGAGACAATACAGCAGAGGTGCCTGCATACTGCCAGTGAATTTAATGAGATAATTACTCCATCTTGTTTATGTAATGGTTATTGGCTTAGCATATTTGCAGCCCAGAAAAGAAAGCATTCATTGCTCCCACGTGTGCATAGCCATAGCAGGAGCAGTGAGAGAGCCACCTGGGCTCTGCTCTGCTGAGGAGAAGAGGAGGTGGGCCTGATCACAGCTGGCATTGGCTTCTGCAGCTGCTGTCCTGCCAGGAGGGTTCAGAGTTGCTGCAGTATTAGCACAACCTGTAATCACAGCCTCTCTGGGTCT